CCATTGTGTGAATTAAATGACAATGAAATATATAAAATACTTAACAAGTCCTCAATGAAAGGCAGTGTCATAGCAGTGGCACCCTAATCACCAGGCACCTTTAAACCCATTGTATGTATAAAATGTCACCAATATCTATGGAATTTATTTTAATAAGAGAGAGTTTTCTTAGGTTTTTGTTTTACCAAGACTTTTCTGGAATAATGCATTAACACTGGTCTCCATATCAAGACAATTAAAATATGGAATTCCATCAGTGACTGCATGCTTTCTAAAGGAATGTAGCTATGAACTAGCCTCGGCTTTGTAATATCAGAATAATCAGAACCCTAGTATACATTCAAGGGTAATTACTTTGGGTAGTAATTGTCTAGACTGCCCTCCCTCTTCTCTAGGCAGCTGGCATTAAAAAAGAAGCACTGCTTTTATGCTTGAACACAATCAGTCTGTAAAATCCCATTATCCCCAACTTCCACACCCTGTGGCTGCATGCTTTCTTTTGAAACTTCTTAAAGAAAAAAATAAAAAATCTTCAAGGGAGACCTCAAGTTCATTTCTAATCTCATTCTACCCATGTAATATAAAAGTAGGGAGTGGGATGGGTACATAATGTGATTTGCTTACCCCTTCACCAGAAATCCTATGATACTTGTGGGAAAGACTGGGTAAAAGTTTTCATAGGTGGAAACACTTTTTCAGTGTGTATTTTGAGATAAAGTTAAATTTAATTTGTTTGATGTTCAAAGAATAGAGCAAGGTTAATTAGGTTATTTTAGTTTTTCTCTTCCATCTATTCAGAATGCCTCTACTATCCGGGAGGTTCTGCTGACTTCCAATGATCTATCTCCTTTTGTCTGTGATCTTCTGTTAATATCCTAGATGAAATGCCCTCTCCTGCTCTGCTTTCTTGTTTCTTGTTCTTTTCCATATGCAAGTATGACCTCTTGTCTAATCTATCTTCTAATTACTTCTCATGGGCCCATCTAACCTTTTTCTTTTGAGTTCCAATTTTCTGTGATTGAAATTTTTCTTCTAAATCTTTCTACAACCTTGCAGAATTGATATCTGTTCCCTGAGGATGACATCTTCCTTGTTATCTTCTCCATCTCTTACTACCAGTATTTAATGAACCTAAGGGAGGGGTGGAGTGTGGAATGTAGGTAGAGATTCTCAAAAATGTTTTCCCCAGCCATGAAAGAACTGACTGTATTTGTTACCTTATTCAAAAAGGAATGTCCTTCCTTTTCCATCTGCTCACCTAACCATCTGCTTATCCAACCTCTTTATCTTTGGGACATTTCTTCATCTTTCTTAGGACCTGTATTACAAACCTTAACTTCATACCAAACCTTTCTCTCTGATTTTTTCTTCTTTACTAGTGATTTTTACCAAAACTATAATTTCTTTGTCACAGCCTTTACTTTGTCTTAGAATTGCAGGCATGATTTGGATCCCCCACCTCTTGAGCCTCTAGGTTTTCTTTTCTTTTATTAAATAAGCTGCCTCTCCTCTTTGTAGATTCCTATCTGTACAACCAATCTTATTCCTGAGATCAATAAATCTCCTTTCTGTATTCACTTTCTTTTTATCTACCTTGTGCCTCCCCATGACCTACTATGACCTCTTCACCTTCCTAGATCTTGGAAAGAGTAGTTTTAATCATTGTTTTCTGCTTTCTTTATCTCCCATTAGCCTTAATACCCCACAGACTTTTGCCTTATTACTCTGCAAATACTGCTTTTATAATCCCCCGAGGGTATTCTTCTTTTTTTCTTTCTTTTTGTGTTCAGTAGTGTCATATGCTATGATCGCATCAGGACTATATTTTTGACATCTTTTAAAAATACTTTTATTTTTGAATTGGTTCTGTTTTCTTCCCACCACAATTTTCTCCTTCTATAACCCCTCCTTTTATTGTTAATTTGTTGTTTTGAATTACTCTCCCTCTTCTACCCTACCTGGTAGATGTCCTTTACCTCATCTCTTTTTTCTCCTCTCTTCCTATTGGTTGTCTCATCTACCCTCTCAACTTTAATAACAACCTCTTGGATATGAATTCTTTTCCTTAATGCTGAGCTTCTGTCTTCAGACTTGATTTTGAACCTATTAAGAGACATAACATAAAAGTATTTTGAATCCCTTAGATGATTTTAATCATCCAAACTAGGTCACTACTGAGGGTTAAAAGTGGGCACTATTATTCATAATTAGCAAATGTAAACCTGAATGTGCACACATCACTCATTCATACCTAATATGTATGTACAAAATATTCTGAAGTCTGCTTCTCCCATCTTCAATCTTTGTTGCTTCACCAGCATTCTACTTACCTGTGCTGAAAATGTTCATCATCTTCAACATTGTACTCTTTCCTGTATCTTTTAAGTATGCCTTTCTTTCTCTGACTTTCTTCCTCCCTTCCCCTTCCTTCCTCCCTTCCCCTTCCTTCCTTCCTTCCTTCCTTCCTTCCTTCCTTCCTTCCTTCCTTTCTTCCTTCCTTTATCTTTGGGACATTAGGAAGGAATATCCTTCCTTTTCCTAACTCCACAGCACTGTCAATGCACTATTCAAGCCCTTATTTCCTTTACTTGAAATATTGCATAGCCTTTTAGCTTGTATATTTGCTCCCAGATTTTCTCTGCATTCTTATGTGTATTTTTATTTCTACAAAATGTTACTAAAGTGCATTGCTTATTGATCCAGGTACTCACAAAGCCTTGGTGAAGAATGTAAATGCAGACATCTTAGCTTGGGATTCAATATACTACAGAGCCTGACATACATATCATTTCCAGTCTTTTTTTTTTTTAATTGTATTTGTACATGGACAACATCCTTTATTTTAATTGTTTATTTTTTATGAGGTGCTAAGTATCAAACCCAATGACTCACATGTGCTATGCAAGCACTCTGCCACTGATCTACAGCCCCAGCCCCATTTCTTGTCTTAACTTCCTTACTTGTATTTCAACTGGACTTTTGGCCTTTCTCGGAACATCTCCTACATCAATGGTCTTTTACAGTATCAAAATTGTCTTTGGAATTTTAAAAAATATAAATGCCCATAGTTAACCTGAGAGATTTTAATTTAGTAAGTCTGTATTGAGGCTTGAGTGTCTTAGTAAAAACCTTCCTAAGTGATTTTGAGCAAAGCGGGGTTTGAGAAACACTGTCCATTTTTCTGTCTTTGTGATTTTGTTAATTATTTTCTTTCCATTGTCAGATCCGCTGTTCTTGCTTTCTTGTTATTCCTTCTTACCCTTCAACACCTAACCCTAATTTTACCTTATTTATGAAGTCTTGGTGATCCATCCAAATAGATGTAATTGCTTCTTCCTCTGTACTTCAGAAGCAATAAACTCTCAGTAGATTATGGTTATGTCCTAAAACTTCTAGACAACACAATTCATGAAGGCAAGGCTTCTGCTATTTATAAAATAGAAACCATTCAATAAGTCATTGGCTTTTAGAGAACTTTGAAATTCTTAATGTTGTTGATAAGTATGTGTTTGTTTTTCCTAATTTGACCAAAAGTCCCAAACCAAAAGGACAGTAATTGTGAATCCAAGACTATGGTAAATGAAGATTTGCTAATCATGCTAAATAGGAGAAAGAAATTATAATTTTAAATGCCACTATTGTTTTCAACAGTGGGTGAACTAATATTAAAGTAAATTCAGTGGTGGATGGTTCCTTCAACATCCAACCTGTAGGTACTGTACAGCGTGTGGATCTGTTTAGATGCCTCATGAAAACTGTCATGTTGGCATGTAGCTGTAAAGTCTACTTTAGTCAGGAACTGTAGTTAGTATTTTTTTTTTTACTAGTACCTTTGGCTCAGGGGAATACTTTAAATAAATCGTCCTTGTCAAAAGATAGAGTATTGTTTTTAATAGGGAAAGTACAGTGATTTTATGCAGTGACAAGTGACTGTGTCTAAAAACTTTTTTTTTTTTTTTTGGTCAAACATTCAACATGGAAGTGATTTTTTTCCTTCTACTTTTATTTTTCACCTAGCTTTCCCACTTGCATTTTTGTTAAATCTATATGCTATTTATTTAGGATTGTCTTTTTTTTTTTTCTTCCTATGATTTTCTATTAGTGCAAGAGTTGGAGTTTATCAGTAAAAAATTGTGAACATTTAGTTTGGGACATATGGAAATATGTGTACAATTTAATGCCTTCTGAGGTGGAGAGGTGGCCCTTAATATCCTATTGTCTTTGTCTCTCTCTTACATCTTTAACTACAACTATCTATGTATCTCTCTATGTATTTAGATTTCATAACAAGCCAAGGTAAAAATTAGCTTTTATCCTCTTGATGCTCTGTGTATTTGCTAGTATAAAACATGTTTCTAATTTATTGCAGGTGAAGTAATCAGTATAGTCAATGCAATGGTCCTAGAAAACAGCCATTCTCCATAACAGGAAGTCAAAAGAAAAATTGTCGTGAAACAGTTAAGATAGCAAATGAATAATGACTAAAATTTCACAGTTGAAGAGCTCTGTGTCAGCAGAATAGTAGAAGTAGCAACACCTTGCAAACCTCTTGGAACACATGGCAGACTTTTCTTAACCATAATAGTGGTAACGTATTTTGTAGAACATTGTACAGTTTTTACACACCTCATCTTATTTAATCCCCTCCTACAACTACTCTGTGATATGAGAGGAATTCCATTTACATGTGTGTAAACTAAGCCAAGAAAGGTAAGCCATTTGTTTTTAAGTTCATACCTGCTAAGTGGTAGATATAATATTTCATATCTTTTGTAGTTGACTTAGATTTCCAAAAAGGCTATTTAAAAAACACATTAGTTTTTCACAGACCATCTTTAAAAAGCGTCAGTCAGGACAATAGCAGTAATGCATACATTGCCCTGAATCAATTTCTGAAGTTTTCCATTTATAGAATATGTAAGTAAAATTTTAAAAAATGAATTTACACATGAAACACTCACTCTTTGAAGTAAAAATAATACACAACCTCAAGATATTGCTATTTTTTTATTTGTAGCCAACTTTTATTTTTATGCCTAGAAAAATACATGGGGTGTTTAGGACTAATGTGCTGGCCAATTTGCTACTTTAGTGATAGTAACATAATCCCAAAAGCAAGCACAATTATTCTGTACTTTTTTCTTAAGTTTTATTCAGCGATAAGACCATAATTTTTCATATTTAAGTAAGTATGAAAAATTTGTCGAGTTTTAAAAGCTGAATACATGTAGCGTTGGATCAAGGCACATACAAGACTGGCCAAAGGGCGTACAATGCACTTTGGTTTTTCATTGAAAAAAAATCATGGCAACAAAAAATGATATGGTTTTTTAAACAAGTAATAGCTCACAATTCAGTAGGAAGCTAGAAAGAAATGTTACATTACAAGTTTATTATGTAATATCTGGAAAACTGTGACAGTAATGGGCAGTATTCTTGATCATTGTGAAAGTAAATTGGACATTTATGTACAGTGTTAAAACATTTCACATAGACCAGATCTAAATTTGATTTCTAGTGTTTATTTTTCTTTTAAATTCTCCCTTATTTAAAGTTCTACTTTCTCTGGATTGCTGAGGGGAATCACTTATGGTTATGCTATCTTTTTAATATGCATAAAATTTTTCTTTGACATCTGTTATGATAAAAACATCATAAACCCTAACAATTTTTGTTTAGAATTCAATTTTCAAAAATTAGGATGGTACAGGCAAAATCAAAATGCAATTCTAGTATTTGTGTTTATTGCACTATATAAGTCTAAGTTTTCATTTCTTTTAAGTATAGATTTCCCCCCCTAACTTAGAAGCACATTTATATTATTGTTTTTGTGAAGTCCTTTATTCTTAAAGCTTTGTTGACAATGACTGTAACAGCAGACTTCACATTGTTTTTATGCCAGTTGATATATTCAGTTAGAAGATATGCTTAACTTAAGGATACTTAATTTGCCTAGAGTAAAAATGGAGATATGCAGCAAGTTTGATATTGCCCATTACTTCACATATTTTGATTTATTGACTACCACTGGGATAATACAAATTTAATAATTGAAACAGTATTTCATAACTATTTTGAGATTTAATTTTTCTCATTCAGCCAGTTTTTATTTTTACATTTTATTAATACCAAAATGAAAAATGGCCTGTGCTTATACTACAAGGATCTCATGTGAATGCAGTCCTGATTGTTCAACACAGCAAGAAAATTCACTTTCACAGTCAACAAGTCATCTTACTCAGTAGAACACAAAGTAAATGGTTTATAACTTCAATATTTGCAAGGAAAATACAGTACAAATTACTAAAAAATACTAAAATATAGTATTGTGTTCAGGCATCTCCACTACTTCAATCGCAGCAGTAACCTGAAATTTGAAACTTTTAATAAAAAGTTCTTAAATATAAATTATATGGCAAATGTACAGTACATTGCTTTCTCAGTCTTATTTTTTTTCCAGTGTTTTGCAGTAGAACAGGGTTCCTACCATCATCTCCTTTAGGTTTTAAAAACCCTGAAGCACAGTCTGCTGCAGGTCCTGCAGCATCATGAGTGTGAGTGATCTGAGTCTGGAATACCACTGTCTCTATAGCTTCGGTTACTACTGCTTTCACTGTGATTGTTTTTGTACAGATTCATTCCATTAGGAGGAAATATGGTGTGTATTACAAACTCCTCCTTTGAAATGGGTTCATTGCTTATTGGTAACATCTGAAAAGAAGTCTCCCTGATTTCCAGGATAGAGTTGTCTTTCTTAGTGCCAGCTTCTGCATAGTCATCCTTTCTTCTCCTCCCTTTGCTGTAAGCACAGTTCCTTGAGAAGAGTGACCCATTTCTATGAACATACCAACATACTAGAGCAAGAAGGGCAATTGTCACCAGGGCCACAGCCCCACCAATGATGGCAGCCAAAGGTAAATTGGGGTTTTTGTAAGGTTCTTTCTCTTGCTCTCTATTGAGTGTGGTTGTAGGATTGTACATTCGAAGGGGTGCAGTTTCAGTCTCAATACAAACAGGAGTTTCATCAAATAAGTAGAGGTTACTGGTTTCCATGGGAACCATGCATACTCTATAGGGTGAGTCAGGCTCCAGGGCTGTTACCAAGTATTCACTGCGTTCTCCTGTTACGATTGTTTCTGTTATAGATCCAAATGCTGGGCTATGGCCCAGCTTAAGCCAGCTGAGTCTTAAAGCAGTCATAGGTAGAGCAAGTTTCCAGGAGATATGAATTGTGTCAGAGGTGACAGATTTCACAGTAATTATAATAGTTTTTCTTGAGGGACTCCCTGTAGTTCGCTGATCCTTAGTGAGCTTGGGGTTCTTAATATCCGGTTGTTTGGTCACTGGAGCTGGCCACTGTCCTTGAGCAGGATACACTGTGTTGGGTATTGCAGTGGTTATCTGAATCGTGCTTACAATCCCACTGTCTTTACAATCAAACAGTTCTGCATTGAGGTCCTTGATAGCCATTCCACGAACTTTCTCGGGAGCTTGGCACATGAGCCCACGCACATTGACCTTCACAGGTAGTGACTGTAACCAGTCGCGTACCCATTTCATCTTGCACCCACAATACCAGGGATTGTTGCGAAGAATCAATTGGGTTATATTGTCCAAATCATCAAAGATACCCTGAGGTAAATTACTTAGGTTATTGTTGGACATATCAAGTCGGTACAGCTGCCTTAGGTAAGAAAAAGCATTTGGGGGCACCCGGTTGATGTGGTTATCTTGAAGGTAAAGCCTCCGTAGGTTTGTGCCTGGAAGGTTTACTGGTGCAGCAGTCAAGGAATTCCGTACCAGTGACAGTTCTGTTAAGTTAACTAGGTTGAAGAAAACTTTGTCACCTAAACCATGGTTGTTCAACAGATTTCCATCCAACACCAGACGTTTTAGGCTAGTGAGACCTTGAAGAGATGGTGATGAAATAGTGGATATGCGGTTATCATCCAAGCGTAGTTCCTCTATAGTCCTGGGCAAACCCCAGGGAATTGTGCTAAGGTGATTGCGGGATAGGAAAAGCAGTCGGAGATAGTTACTGTCTCGGAATGCACCCTCTTCAATGCTAACAGCAGAGACAGAGTTATCATCTAAATGCAGTTCTTCCAGATATGGAATTTTTGAAAGAGAATCATAAGTGATGGTTCTTATGTTATTTTCTTGCAAATGTAACTCTTTTACATACTTTGGGAGGTTGGTAGGAAATTCATCTAAACTGTTGTGGTATAGGTATATTCTTTCTACTTTCAGCAAGTTTTTCAAATCTGAAGGAATCCCAGCATTATTTATTTGGTTGTTCTGAAGGTAGAGAGTTGTAGCATCCTCTGGTATTCCTGTTGGAATGGATGTCAGAAAACGATCATTGCAGTAAATGAAACCCGCATCACAGCGGCACACAGATGGACAGGATTTAGCCATGACTGATAGAGGTGCCACTTGAAGAAACAGCCCAATTTTAGTCCCAATGAGGAAGAGGCTCCAGGCTGGGCTGATCATGGTCAGCAATGTTGAGGTCTTTACACAAAGATTTTCTGTTACTTCAGAGCCCTAAAATGGAGTAATAAAAGAAAGAAAATCATCAGACTCCCATACTGAAGAGAGATAACTAAAGCATTTGTGATCACTTTTAGTATTTTAATTGTTTAGACAAGGACATATTAGGAGTTATTGGTTGCTAACAATGAACACAATCATATAATCAACCTCTTTACCTTGAATATTTCTGGTATATAAGTTAAAAAGCATCATGTCCCAAGTGTTGTGATCTTGAAATGTTAAATATAACTAGAGTTTTATTAAATAGTCTAAAGTATTTTAATGATATTTAATATTAATTTTACAACCAGTCACTAATCAAACTAATCAAATTTTGAATGATTTCTTAATATTCATAATAATTGACATAGGAAATATAATTTGTTATAAAGATGATAATTTCACTTTTCTTAAAAAACCAAATTTTTATTTCTACTTTCTTATTAAATAAAAGACCACATTTTGTACAAATGGGTAATAAAAACAAAGTCTATTCTTTTACTATTCAAGAATAGTTTCATGCATCTTTAGATTCTCAGTCTCATTAAAGCCAATCATTTGATTTGATTATTAATGGTATTTCTCTTTCTTGGATTATTAATAGTAAACCTTGCTTAAAAGCAAAAAGAATAAAAAAGGAATCTTTCATTTATTTACTTTTGGGAATTTTATAGCTAATATGTGCAGCTAATCTAAATGGAATATTCTAATTCATGTTAAAGTATTCTTTTCCTTGGATTTGATTTTTTTATGTTTTATATTACATGGTTTAATGACTTTATCCACATTTTTACTTATTTTCCAGCCCATAACATGTTTTCGCAATTCATTTATTTTTCTTCAAATTCTAACCTAGTACATGATTCAACTTCCCCCATGGGTTGGTGATTTATAGATTTATACCAATCTATATTGTGTCATATAAACTTTTCTGCACTTTTAGATATTTATTAGCCTTTATAATTTTAGGCATGAAAATAAAACACTTGATATTTTTCCTACCTTATTTAACGATGTGAGTAAATTTTGCGTGGGTGAAAGTCCAAATGCACATATATTATTTTCCTGGTGAGGGGCTGGGACTTATAAACTCTTGTTTAGTCCTTGGAAATGTTCTTCACTGTTTATTCAAGAAATCCTATGCCGGACACACCTCCAGGTCAGGCTCACTGTTGTCAATGAACACTCCAGCTGCGGTTCAGCATGGTGGGCAAGCTCATTAAAGTGGGGGCCAGAAACAATTCAGCTTCCTGTTACTATGTAGGACACATGGCTTCCTATATATATATATATATATATTTTTTTTTTTTTTCTTTCTGATAGAGTTTCTTTGTGACGGTTCCTTTTGTGTAGCTTAATTCCCTTAGTAGAACTTTCCCTCTTTGAAATTCTTATTGGCTCTTCTGTGCAATGTGGGCAGAGATAGTAACTTCAGATCCTCATGAAGAAAGCCATTCATGATGCTAGGGCCTGTATAGTAATAGGTTTTTATTTTTTTTTTCAGGCAGTTACCCCCTACCTTTATTCCCATCCAGGATTATCCAAGTATAAACTTTGTACAGTAGCTACATCCTGAGGTATGATTACCTGCTGTGAAATAGCTATTTTCAGCTTTTGCTTCTTGCTGTTTTCTCAGAATTTCTGGTGCAGTCACGTTATACAAGAACATGTATTCTCTTTTAAGAGGTAAGAAAACAATTCATATATTCTTCATGGAAAGAAAAAGAAGCATACTAAATTTTCTTTATAGTTTTCTTCCTTAAAATATACTGGTATTGAGCATCTCCTGTGAAAGTAAAAGGTTTTAATGAACTATTAATAATAAACTTGAAAAAATTAGAGAAATTGCCTAGAAATTTAATTTCAATTCTTTCTTTAAGCAACACATCTTTAGTATAGTAGCTGATGGAAAGGGATTTATTGAGTGCTTTGTTTTTATGCTTCCCAGTTAGCTGTATAAATAAAGTAGGAGATAATATGACATTGTCAGCCAACAGATAATATGACATTGTCAGCCAACAGTCTCTACCCTTAACTGTTTCGTAGCATAAGCCCCTTTCATGACTTTTCAGGGTAATCTTCATAAGTTCACTTTAAGTCTTAGGCATAAAATGATAAAACGTTTAAAAAGAAAAGAACAAGTATATGTCAAAGAGATGAGTAAATATTTAACAAAGACTTTTGACAGAAGTGCCATGGTAACTTTTTGAAACATTTGACCACAGTTTTACAAAAGTTATACAATCTCCAATTTGAAAGGTTGAAAAGACTTTGCTTTAATGCTTTTCTTTTTATTTGCTTAGTTCCCTATTTTATTCTTTCTGCAGGAAGAATTCCCAGTTGCAGAAGGTGGACACCATCACCTTCCTCTTTAGGGGTGTGTCTGGGGGCTCCTTAGTGATTTTGAAATTCTAGGCCCTCAAGTGTTCTTGCCTAAAAGGTGGCATAAAAGTTCAAGTTAGTTTTTTAGGAAAATACTACTATAATTTTGTTTTCATACAGTGAACTTGGAAAAATCTGTATTTGGAATAGAAAGGACACCCATATAATGACCACCTAGAAAGCGAATCAAAACCTGATTGGGCATTTCTCTCTAGGCTAAACATGAACATACAAATTTCCACTAATGTACTTTTCATTTCTGAAAGAAGACTTGACTAAAGAGACCAGTGATTTTAATGATGATTGTTCTGCCATTAACTAATTTGCATGAGGATTTTTAGGGCTAGAATTAGGTTGGTAGTTCAGTATCAGTTATGCAGGGTCACCCACTCAGATGCTTTCTCTACATATGGAGAACACTTGAGTATCATGGGAATATTTGACCTCAAGATTAAGGACTAAAGTAGTAATTTGCTTCTCTGCCAACTATTACCTAGTGTCCAACAAGGATGGCATCTGTTCCAGAATTTAAACTCTCTACTGAATATGTATGTTAAATAATGTCATAATTTTGTGATTCTGGTTCCTTTGAAAATTCTGTGTCTTTCAGACTACCACTTGATGCCAATGCCATCAGACTTTATTAACAGAAGAAAAGTTGAAAAAAAAATGCATATAATTTATTAGGGCAACTTGAAATGAAAATGGCAATAGATAGATAAAGAAGTCTCTAGTGAATATTGCAAAGTGTACACAGAGAAAAATTTTAAATGATTTTTTGTTTAATGTGAGAGTTTTGCTCATTATTGTGGAATTATCTTGTAAACTCTTGCTTTCTGTTTGTGAAAATAGAAAACCAAGCTATTGAAATTATAATTACAAGTTATTTTTAAGATCTTTTGCTTTAAATATTTTCTAAGCTGGAAAATTAATCAGCATATAAAATAATGTGGTTAATTTAAATTTAGAAACAAATACTGTAATGTAATTGCATTAGAAACTAATTAAAATTATTATAAAGACAACAAGTGAGAACTTGCTTAAAATCACTAATAGTCAAACATTTCTTATATTCAGGAACACTGATAAGGCAAGACATAATCTAAAGTGCAGGTGAATCAGCTGAATGGGAATTTAAAATCTTTGATTGTCCCAAGTCATGGCAGATCACAACATATCCAAAGTGATGATCATAATAATGAACAGAGATGAAGCATCTCCATTTTAATTTTATATCTGGTTTTACAAAACCAGGCTCTAAGAATATGTATTGTTTTTCACATTTGTAACCCAAAGAGAGAAAGATATATAAAAACTAAGTTGGTGTGAAAAGAAGAAAGATTAATTTGTTTATTTTACCTGTTTAACATTTGTAAACTGGCTTCCACTGCTGTTTGATATGCAAACTCACATTTTCCATTCATACAATAGTAGTAGTAATGTAGGATTAACAGAAAAACTAAATCTCATTAAGTTCGTGGAAAATGTCCTTTCCAAATTGCATTAAAACATAAAACAGATTTCTTAGGAAAGGATTCTCTTTCACAAATGAAGATTCTGCTAATAGCTTCTCTCACTTGCTCATATTCCCTACAGTTAGACTCAAAACAATTCAATTTTTGTTTGACTGAATTTTTTAATCATCTACCCCTTTATATTTGAAAATATAGTGCCAGAGAGGTGTGTTTTTTTTTTTTTTTGGCATATTAAAAACTATAATGAATATCTCTCTATCAAAAGAAAGCAATCTGACACAAATATTTCAACTTCCTCCTTTCTGAGCTGGATCTCCATATCCACAGACATTGTAGTTGAATGTGAATGATGAAAAGAAAATGACCCCCATCGGCATGGACACTGTGGCCAGGTTTCCACAACATCGACTTCAGAGCTTTTCTGTCTGCATAGGCTTGAAAGAAGCCATTACTTCTGAACAAAAAGCAATCGATCTTTTAGAAAAATATTGTTAATGGGGTAACTTGGTGGAAAAATGTAAGTGGAGCCTGGTTACTTAAAAGGATGTTTTAAAATTATTTTAATGGAATCATTTAAGTATATAGCACTTAAAATGAGCAAAAAGAAGAAACCACATAATCAACTTACTGGTGAATCAAAATTTTAATAGGGATCCTTCTATTCAGTGTCTTTTAAAAAATTGCAGAGGCAATTGTTTTTTTGCATTTATAATGTAATCATCAAGTCTAAAAAGTTTCCCTCTAGTTTATTTTCAGAATACACCTAAGAAAACATTCAAATAGACGAGGATGCTATCATCTTGAAATATTTTAGGAAAACTAATAGAAATTAAGGAGTCGTATCTGAAGAGAAAAGTGATATTGAAATAAAATCAAGAACTTGAGGCAATCTGCATATTTACATGATTTTTTCTCTGCTAGTACAATATTTTTGATATGGAAATATTTGAGAGAAAAAGGTATTTCCCATGTTTTGAGAATATAACTTATACTAAAATGAAGATAGATGATGATAGTGCTAACTTCCTAAATCCTTTATTTTGTACCTTCTGTTTAAGTTGATTTTGATTTGACTTGTTTGATTATTAATCATTTTTGTTTAACAATCTTAGGACCAAGTATAAGGTTTTGAATTTTTGGTTTCTTTTTATTGGAACTTTAAATATATTCAATCAGAAAACACCATGTTTTAATCCAGAATAATTGCATTATTATTTGGAATAAAATCTTGATATTGAAGAAAACCCATGCTTAATTTATCCAAGTTTGTGAATATTTCTAGGTAAATTAGAACTTATGGCAGTCATCATCTAGAGTATAAGGGAAATAATTCATTTATTAAGATTAAAGTTTTTTCTAGAAAGCTCAAAAAATCAACAACCTGTGAATGCAACAACAAAAGGTATTTCAAATAAACTGTGTATATGGTTAAGCTGAAAAACTGGAGTATTTCAGGTTAGTTGATAGTGACAGCAAAATGCTTTCTAAGCAGCCTGCCTGGTAGTTAAATTTTCCACGATCATCAGATTTCAGGAAAGTTCCAATTCTTTTGTTTAATGCCAGGCAAGCAGAAGGACCTCTAACTCTCCTCTTGAGAGTCATGAAGTCATAAGGGTTTGCTGAGAGGCAGAGAAGCAAGTATTCCTTTTTTATACTTGGCTTTATCCACACTATTTTCTAGCCTGAAGAAGGTTTTGTTTTGTTTATGGAAAATAGGGGCTAAAAGTTCCAAAGCAAAGGATTTTTACTTTCTCCTTTCATGTTACTGGTTCTTTTCCCCAATGAGTTTGTGATGAATGAATGTAATTCTGCTTCATTTATTTTGGCTTGTAAAGTTAAATCAAGCATTCTTAAAACAAAAAAGGCAAACTGAGATGTTATCTTTCATCATAGTGAATGTTCTCCTTTTATGATATTAAAGCCAGACTTAATGAATTAAAGAACCACAACTTGTAAGAATGAATAAGATGTTAATATAGCGGGTGGTGAAGATAAGTGGTAGAGAGCTTCGAGCAGGGACATGCTTTAAGTTTGTGCTGACTTTTGAGCAAGTGTAATTAAAAGGGTGCTCACTTTTGTTAAACCACAAACTTTTTTTTTTATTGCAAATCTGAAATTCCTCTTCCAGGAATTGTGTGAACACTATTTGGCTTTAAATTTCTAATATTTAAATTTCCATACACTAGTTCAGCATATATTTATTTAAATCAACCATGTGGCAAGCACTGTGCTAGTGGGTGAGAACATCTAAAATTATAAAATACATTTTTTCATATCCACGTAGGAGTAGCATTATTATTGATTTAAACCAGATGAAGAAAAAGAAAATCAACAACACATAAGTTGATCAATCTACAGTCCAGTGGCACGCATTAAAAATGGTGTTTAAGCAAATGTGGTCTGTGAGTTTTCTCTCCAAAGTTACCAAGGTAACTTTTGCACATGTAAAGTGAAAGAATAAAGAACAAAAGCTGTCATTGTCCCATCAAGTGAGAGCAATTTCTCCCTCCTTTCCTTTAAACAGACTCTTACCTGGAGAGAGCTTTTTTTTATGTTACTGACATTTGATTTGGGGCTAGGAAAGAGATTATGCAAGTGTAAACAAATTAAACTCTAGCTGTTGCTTAAATTATATTTTATTCCTTTGTACTTAAAATCTTTTCTCTGGATTTCTTGTTAATAGATAAAACAAAATCCTGAAACATGCTCTCTTGTACAATATAAAATGGCTTTCAAAACTGTCTTTTAGTGTGACGTTTAACTAAATTTAGTAATGTTGATCTGCATTTTGAAAATGAAAAATGCTTTCTTAAATGTATATACCTATATCAGTTATTAAAAGGAAGACGGCTCTTTTGGAAGATATTTACTAATCATCTCTTTGTTGGAAATAGGTTTGTTGACTTTTAGTAAATTTTTGAAATGGTAGGATGTTAGAAGAAGACAAGAAATATCCCTTTTTATGCTCTGAAGAGAAAATGCCATTTTGAGGATTAATATTGCTGAGAGATTTACTGTAGAGTTTTTGCCCGCTGGGGGGTGGTACACTCTACCAGAACACTGCTTTCAGAAGCGGCAAGTCAGATGTTGGCTGCTGCTGGCCAGTTTTTCTCTGGTTTAATTACAACAAAGCCTCCTGTTGAGAAGAACAGTGAAGACCTCTGGGGCAAAAGGTGGGGGGCAGGAGGGAAGGAAAAAGGAGGAGAGAAGGAAGGGGAGAAATCAAGGCCTTTGAAAAATTTACAGAACCTTATTTCCCTAGTTGACTTCATTTATGGTGTTCTTCATTTGAAGTGAGACCATTATTTATAATGCTTTTTAAATAAAGTGGTATGAATAAGAGAATATAAAATGGGATTTATTCAAAATTTTAAAGTTAGCTCTGGATCTAACTATTAATCACATTCTTTGTTAAGTAGCCCACCCACCTTAAAAAGGGGAGGAGAGTTGAGAATTGACTGAAATGGCAACTTTAGATCAAATATATTTTAAATGCCAGATTTAATTTCATATTGGCATGAGCATTGGCATAGCAAAACTAAAAAGCAAGAAAGAAGAAACACTAATATAATATTAAGACAAGGCAAATTCCCAGCTACTGATTTTTTTCTTTTTCTTTTTTGCTACTGATTTTTGTTGGGCTTAAAATTGTTCAAAATAATGCAGAAAGAGGAGAAAGCCTTAGGAATTATGGCCAAGAAGAGCACAGAAAAATCTCTCTGCACTGCATTGCATATTTAAAACTGATAATTGTATTTTTCATCTGGAGAGACCCAGTGTTCATTAGGGTCTTGTGTCCCTAGGCAGAAGATGCTGAGCATAATTGGAGTTTCTATTTGATTGGGCAATATAGTCTAGAGAAGAAACTGGGGTAAAGATAATTAATAGCTTGCTAACAAAGTCTGACAGCCACAAGATTTCAACCAAATTTATTTCACACTGCTTCATTTAGCTTTGAAAAAGTTTTGATAGAATTGGAGGCTCCTTAATTAACACTTGAAAGCAAAAGAAACATACCTTCTATTTTGCTGCCACATTTAGTTATGACAAATTTTCTTACTGTTTTTCTTCTTTTTGATAAAAACTTTATTTTCTGCCCAATTATATATTTCACAACTTTATGTTTAGGAAGTGTTTAATTAGGCCTTTTGAACGTAACCATAATTGATTAAAAAAGCAAAGGGGTGTGTAGAGAAATGAAAAGCCCAATTAATAACTGATAGATGGTCTACTGGAATATAATATTAATGAATTCATCATGTTTATTCATTCACTTTGCTGATCCTTGGACCTGATATATTTTGGCAGTTCTCTATTTAGGAAAACATTTAGCTGTAATTTTCTTAGTTAAGTACATGCAATCACATTTTTTTAACCCTGTTTTAAAATTCAGGCTAATAAATACTTGTGTGTGTGTGTATGTGTGTGTGTATCTGTGTGTCCAAGTACATATATGTTCGAAATTAAGTGACATAATCAAACTTCTAATTAAAATTTGATATTTTTATTAATATTTGTAGTATAGTAATAATAATATTATTGTGGTACTTTTAGGGGATTAATTTTTCTTTATTCATTTCCAAAGAGATGAGGATTAATCATCCGTCACTTTGAGCAGGAATAAGTGATTCTACCTGAAAACAGACAAACTCATTCTTTATGTTTATACCGGTCATGGCATTTTTATGTAGTTAGGGATAAATGAAAGGCATTGCTACAGCTGAAGCACTTTTCTAGTGGCTTTATTCATGTTTTAAGCAAGTAAAATAACATACATGTGCATTTAAAAGCAGATGTATTTCTTAAGAAAATTTAAAATAGTTGATTTTTAAAACTGTTGGAGAATTTGGCTCCATAATTGTAGAAAATCAAAATTTTTTTCTTTTTAATTTTAAATAAATTAATAAATACCCTACAGATGTTGGAAAAATATGGGCCTGTTGCACTCTTTACCTCTATGCAACCATTTTGTTTCAGACCTAATTCATTGAAAAAAAAAAGATTGAGAAGATACTTTTTGAAAGCATTGTAGTATAAATGCATTTGTTCCAATGTAAGATTTTTTCCATTACGAGTTGCAAGTGAATGGATACTCTGCATATCCCACTGGATGAGGGCGCTACTCATTTACTCTTTTTCCTTCTACCCCGAACTCATTGCATACATCAAAAGCATAGCTTCCAGGGTAGCTTTGTTAGTTTTTCTGAGTAGACTTAGCCAGTTACTATGCTAGTCACATACTACACTTGCCCAAGCAATGGATTTTGGCATTCTACTAGAGGGGGAATATGGTTTGGAAGAGAATCTCCCCCTCCTCTGAGTTGAATTCACTAGTTGAGATTTGCAACCCTGAAATGCTTGAAGGAGCTCTCACAGGATAGCAGTGCAAGCTTTAAAATCTAGGTGTAGCTGTTAATCCTTTACAGAGGCACATAAGTCTCCAGGAGAAGCTCGGCTTGGCTCGCTGTGAGCAAGATGTATGCTTTTCATGTACTGCGTACTCATGGGCTGAGGGATTATCGATTTCCTTTCACAGTTGTAAAAACAGCAATTGGTGATCATACCACACATACAGTACACACCAAGTTAGCAAGACCTTTCACTTTCCTATCTGTAAAAAATCCTCCTTGTATTCTCTAATATTTAACATTTAACTTTCCAACTTGATGTTTTCCATAAAGCCTTTTTCAAATATCAGTTACTCGAGGTGGAAAGTAGCTATTTATTATTTTTCAAAAATGAAAGATTTTAAGAAACTTCTTGCATTTGGTTGTCTAGTCAAATTTTTCCTTGCTGGCTTGCACGCACATATATTGCTCTTACTGGTGACAGAGCAAACATCCCTGTTTGGATTCCTCATGGCACTAAGTCGTTTCTTTCTAGGGAGTAAAACCAAGCAAACTTTCTGGGACAATCATAAGAAAAAACACGGAAAACACTTACCAGGAAGATGAGAAATAGCAATCTTATGTACACGTCTGCTGTAGCTGTAATTCCAATTGACTGTGAATTGGAGTAATAATCCTCCCTCGTCTCCCAAACACAGCGTTCAGTCCACACAAAGCCAACGGCAGCTGCAGCCTAAGCTTGCCCTGCTTCACATCACCCCTGCGCTGAGTGAGCCAGGGAGAGCATTCCAGTTTACTGCACACAGCCCACCTCCAAGTCTGAAGTTTAAAGCTTCACCTCGCAGTGGTTGAAGAAGGGGGTGATGTCATAGATGGGCAGGACTTAGCCACGCTCTTGTTCAGTGAGGTAACTGGATAATCAGACAGATGAGCTTTGCAAACGCTAGAGGGGGTGAGAGAAGCCGAAATGAGGTGCTCAGCCTGCCAAAGCAAGAATGCCATTTGGTTTGTAGGCAGCCTTTGGAATCTCAACATTTTCTAAAGTTTACTACTACAAGGCAGTGGTAGCAAACTTAGAAAAAATCCAAGTGTGTTAGAAGGATATTTATAAGATTACAATAAAAAACCCCACAGATTTCTGTTTATTTTAAGCCATCTGTATTGAAAAAAAGTTAACAAAATCAAGTTTTTATTTTTCACTAGTTGCAAACATGTTATAACTGTGGAAGATACAGGCCAGTAACCCCAACTAAATATTTATTCTCAAATAAGTAGAAAGCTTATTCAGTAACCAATTTATTTAAGGGAAAGGGGATAGGAATGCCAATTTTTTTTTAATAAAAGTTTATAGTCTGTTTTTTTGGAGGTAAAGAAGAAGTTATTGTTCTGCATGTTTTAAAAACAATGAAAGTTTGTCCACCTTACTGAGAACGACTTTAATGTTCAATTACAGTTTTATAGACTGTTTTCTGTTATTTGGTCAACAGTTGCTTTCTTGTATTCCACCAAGTTAGTGCATTTTACTTTACTGTTGATGAGAAGATTTTGCTTTATATTTATCTAGAAGGCAATTTCCTTTAATTTTTTTATTTGCTTTATTCTTAGAGATTCATGAGCTTATTCTTTCTCTCTCTCACTTTGGCTATAGTGGGTATTGAACCCAGGACCTTGCACATCCTTTGTGCTTTCTTAAATTCCTCAGAATGTTTCGGGAGGCCAGCTCTCTCTCTCTCTCTCTCTCTCTCTCTCTCTCTCTCTCTCTCTCTCTCCCTCCCTCTCTCTCTCTCTCACACACACACACACACACACACACACACACAATCATGGTCTCTTCATTACCTTCATTTAGTTTATTTATATGCTTGTTTGATAGCTGTTTCACATATGTGTTCTCCTCCAAGAATGGAGGATATCAAAGTAGAAGGTGAATCCTTGATGAGAGATGTACTGACCCCTATTGTTCTATGATTGCACGTTTGCAGTCCTCCCAGGACAGACCCATTAAATCCAGGAGTTTTAGAATTCTAATGTCTATTGAAAAGCCAATTTCTTAGAACTGTTAAGTAGTACAATTTAAACTGAGATGCAGCTGCTGAATTTTTGGAGAAAGGGAGGTGGGACTAACAGTTAATCTCGTAAGAAAGGGTGGATTCTTTTCTGTTACTGCAAAACAAACACATGGATTAAATTATTTTATAAAATATTTCTTTCTAGAAGACATTTTCAGATGGGAGTTAGTTCTATTTTTAAAGGAAATTTTTGCCTGACCAAATTCCTCTGGGTTTATATTCATATTTAATCAGTTTTTCTTTTTTTCTCCATTCAGGCAGGCCTTCAACAGAAAAGAAGAATAAATGGGCCATTTGGGTTAAAGGTATTTAAAAGAAAATGTACTGGCCTAGGAGTTAGGACCTCTGAAGGTTCCATTCCCCAGGCTGCCATTTGTTATATGACTTCAAATACCCGCTGTGGCCTTTGGTTTCTTCACATAGGAAATAAAAACAGCAAGAATTTATTAAATGCCAGTTATGGATTGTTGCTTTTTTTTTTTTTTTTTTGCCTTTTTAAGCTGAGGATTAAAATGTAGAAGGGAAGGTGTTGTGAAAAATGTAATCTATACTAGAGGTACTGACTTTGGAGGAAAACTACTCTTTAAGAGAGTCTTGGTTATCTTACCATCTCCAAAATTATATATTCTTGATGGTTCCATTTTTTCTTGTCACTTCTTGCTTTGATCAGCCCCTGAAATTCTGCCAGATGGAAGTGAATTCATAATGGTATGTGCCCATTTTGAAATAGTATGTATCACCTTTAGAAAGGTTAAGAGTACAGGGAGTTACTTCAGATTGCTTTTCTACTATGTTTCCTAAAAGAGATTAATTACCATAGAGGATGAATGTCCTGGTTGAAGGGGAAGGGAGGCTGACAAGCATGATGCCATTTAGGCTGTGATAGGAAGGAAGGGAATGGATTGTCATAGCAGGAAGAACTCAGCTGAGTGTGTAGAAACCAGTGTAGTATAAAGTTTAAGTACATGGACTTCAGAATCCTGTATACCCGGGTTCTTTCTTGGCTTTGCCACATGACTATAGACAAATTATTTAATGTCTTTGAGTTTATTAGTTCAGTGTCTCAAACTAAGTACCCAATAAAATGGTAGCTACCATTATTAAAATTGGAACATCTGAACATCTGGGAAAAAAGGACTTAATGAAGTGGGAGAAAAAAGTGCACAAAGATAGGAGAGGGCCAATAATAAATTTCTCATTTTTCAAATTTCCCTTTGTTCTTGTGTTTATAGTTCTTCAGACAAGAAATGAAAGTGAGATGGAGGAAAAGGAAATTTTTCTTATTGATTTTTTTTCTATTGTCCTCATGCATCTCATGACCTCATGTTCCCAGAACTTAAAACTTAGTTGAGTTCTAGTAGGTATTTGGGGTTGAAAAAATATTTGTTGTTATTTTTCATTTTCTTATGTTTTGTAGGGTAACCTGGGAATCTAACATTGTACATAAGAAAATGCATTTCAGATTGGAAACTGACTTAGAAATGAACTCCAAAATTATCCCAGTTTTTATACCTTAAAAATATTGAAACTTATCATATCAAAGTATTTTTTTTTCTCTGTTTTAGAAGATTTGAGATGTTCCCTGGTAGAGAACTTGGCAGATTGGATTTGAAATTAGGTTTTTCAAGCTTGGCTACTAACTTGTATATCTAGACAAAAAATGAACAACAACCCCTACCCTGCCCACCACCAAATCTCTTTTAGTTACTAACTCCCAGGTGAAAATCATTGTGATGTAATTATTTCACAGAACAATTTAATCTGGGTCTTCCAACTTGTCTATACTTAAGCTACCTAATTCATTCATTCATTCATCATACACATATTCATGACTACTCCTGTAAAAGATTAGGTGATCCCTAAACCAACCCCAAATAGAAATAGTTTTGATTATTTTCATTTCCTTCACTATTGTTTATGAAAATAAAATCTTAAAAGATGTTAAAAAAAGAAAACAGTTCTGTTTTTTTAATTATTAAAGGTCTTAGACTATTATCAGTTAAGAATTTTTTGGAGGCAAGTGATTGAAAGGCCAACCCTTATTGCCAAATCAACAATTAGAATTGGTAGGCTCATGCAACTGAGAAGTTCAAATGTATGGTATGGCTTCAGATAAAACTTGATAGAGTGGTTTAAAATATGTTAACAAGAGTACAGTTTTTCTGACTTTCTGTTCTGCCTTTTTCATTGTGGGCAGGTTTGTCAAGCTATATATAATGGGGACTTGCCCCTTCCTGCCTTTCCTATTAAGTTGCACATATCACTTTCATATCACATAGCTTAGAGGGAGGAGAGGTCTCCTCCAGAAGCTCTTGTATGGAGCCCTGAGGTTCGCACTTTGTTTAAACTTTATCACATGCTCATTCCTAAACCTATTTTATGAGAATGTAGAGAAAATGCTGGTGAGCTTAAGCCACTATAGGATCTGTAGATAAGGTCAATCTTACTCAAACAGGTAGCTGAGAATGGAGAAGGCATGGCCCAAAGGAAAATGGGGTATTGTTAGTTTGAAAAGGAAGGGATGGGTGTTGGAGCTTAGTTCATTTTCAGAGGATTTGGCATGCTGAAACTTGGGCATGTTTTATAAATTTTTGAAGTTGAAGCTACTCTTTTTCTCTTCTTTCTTTCATTTTTAAAAAAGTTACAGTTTCTGTTAAAATTGCCAAAACATATTTTAAAGATTTTCTATTTGTAGACCCTCTCAAGTCTAGTCCAGTGTTTTTTTTTTTTTTTTTCCCCCTGTCAACAGGTGTGTGTGTCAGGACACATCAGTACTACATCTCAGCATGCGCCTGTGCAATGGTAATAAAATATAGAGAGTGCACATTCAGCTATCTGGAATTCTGTGAAGTCAAGCCAGATGCTTAATGCACTAGTTAGAAACTGTACCACTTCTTTCTGAACAATTCCAAAGGGTATTGGAGAAATAATTAGATTTTAGCAGGTCACAGATGCCTTAGAATACTAAAAGGTTTTAAAAATGCTATATTAAACTATTCTTCTGTTCTGGTATTTGCCTTTTATTAGTCAACACTTAAAATGTACCTAAAACAATCACATATCCCTTTTAACTTTATTTCCAAAACATACTGCACTGGAGTGGGATCTGTCATTATAGAACTTGAAACAGAAATCAAAGCAAAATCAGATTGGTTATTTCCCTGTGTGCCTGCCCATACTCTGTTATGCCCTTTCTTTTCCCTTGTGCCCAAGTTAGACTATTGCACATCAGGGATTGGGAGAAAGGTGATTTTAAAATAATAATAAAATAAAACCTGGGGAAAAAAAAGCACCCCTTGGTCTCCTAGAAGAGAAAAGAGGAATTGTAATTCAGAAGAGGTTAGTACACAGTTCTAGGTAAGGCGGGGGCAGGGGCAACTGGCTAGTAAAAAACTGGAAGCCTGATGATCCCTACTTTCTTCACTCATTGGGCATCCATTTTGTGGCCATGCATATGGAACAATGTACAAATCCAATTGATCTAGGCTGTGATCTTGCCTGGTTTTCATTCCCTGATTCCCTCTCATTCTTTCTTTTTCATTTTAAAATGCTAAAAACAACAACAACAAAATAAAACAACAACAACAATAACAAATCACACACACAAAATACTTTGAAATGGTAAAATGGATCTTCATCAAGTAGAGACTTGGGGCAAGAAGAATGAGCCAATCATCTCTGTATTACTTTCCATTTAGCCCTAGGAAAAGAGCTTCAGCTCTCCGGGTCTCAATTCTCTTATTATGGAGACAGGGATATGGAACTCAACTAG